TGTACCCTCAGCAATCTTCGGGGATTCCTTCTGTGGGTTATCTAAAAGCAGGGAAGGTATTCATGCAACATTATCACGCCTGTTGTCACATGAGATATATTTTACGGCTTTTCAGGCAGAATATTTTGTCTTGGAAACAGAAATTAAAAGTCTATTCTATGAGAAAAGTGACAAGCTAAACCCGAAGAACAGCAGCAAAGACTCATGCAGCTCCTGGGCTGGATTCAGCTCTGTGGCTGGTGATAAAGAATTAATCATCCTTTATGGTCATTATGAATCTGCATTCACACTGGTGGCTGAATCTTTTTGTGACCACGTTAACTCTTACAAGGGAGTTTGTTTATTGACATAAACAGGCAAGAATCAAAGAGTTTAAGCATTTGAACAAACTTTGGCCAATATTTTTTGCATGGGAAAGTAATTAAATTTTATTAGACTGGCTATGGTGTTCTACCCCGCTTTGTGACCTTTTTTGATCATATAAGTGGTGACCTTTAGCCTGAGTGTTTAGCAGAAAGCTACTGCTCTGTAAAATTCCACATGATGGACCAAAACTCAAAGCTCCCCCCTCTCCATTAATTAATTTATTTATGCTCCTTCATTCAAAAAACGTCCTTTCAAACAAAAAAAAATATTCATGATCTAACACATTGATACACATTTTGACACATACGTTTCTCCTGGGAAAAATGCACTTATGTTCTCCTGTTTAGTACCACATGTCCACCACTGTTGGTCTGCAATTCCAAATAAGTAAAGATTGATCTTAATAACATGTGATATTTCCTATTAATGATTTATGTTATAAATAAAAGTAAAAGCACATATATATGTCTGTATATGTAAATATGTATTTTTAACCTCACATCTTTGTATATATGCATGTTTGTACATATACATATATATATGTTTCTAGCTTTTTTGTAGCCCTTGTTTCCAATAATTATTTTAGTCTAAGTTCCAAAATATGGATTTCATTTAGGATTAATGAAACAACTAGTAAGGCAATAACAATTTACCATTATAAACATATAACAAATATGTGCCTTTTACAATAATGTTTTTAATTAGCAAATGGAATCCAACATTTTCTAGTTGTCTCATTAAAATTAAATTAGATGCAGGCTTGGGAATTTTAATTCAAAACATTCACCTTTATTATTGAAACATGTTCCTGAACGGATTTCTAGATTATTTTAGTAAACATCCATGCTAATGTACTTGTAAAACATGGGGTTCAATCTTGTTAACATTCCCTTCCAGAATTAGGACATTGGAATAATTTCACTTCAGAAGGAAAAAGAAGATTGCATAACATGACTTCAATCAGGCAAAGATTATTTCCATGTGTAACAGTGTAACTCAATTTACATTCCTACATCTCAAAATAATTTATGCAGTATTTTTAGTAATTACTGAATACGTACTTGCTACACGCAAGATCCCTCAGTTGAGGTAACTGCACTGCAAGCAGCAGTGCAATGAAATTTTACATTTGTGGCAATATGGAATACTCACATCACCTACTTGAAGGTGTGTAGCTCAGGGCCCTTTTGCATGACAGTGCCTCTCTTCCCTTCAGCAGCTGCGTTAGTAACCTAAGATTACTTTTCTTCCTCTGTATCAAATATTTCTACAGTGTTTGTCGTGAAACACTATGTCCTTAAGGTAAGAAATTATATAATGCGTGAGAAAAAAGGACTAGAATACCTCAGTGCCTTCTATACTGCAAATTAGTGTTTCTAAGGCAACTCAATCAAGAAAAGCAAAGAAAAAAACAGTTGAGAAATAAGCATTTTAAGTGATAATGGCAGGCAGGAATTTCAAACAAATTTTCAGCTAAGTAAGGCTCATGCCTAATAGCTGTCCAGGGCTTGCTCTAGACCGTTGTTGCTCTGGGTCTGTGAAGCTTGAAGGAAAAGACAATTTTTAAAGAGGTTCAAGGGAGGCATTTCTCTGTCTGGTTACTCAGGCTAAGCCAACAAACTGCACTGCTACATCTGGGGGCTTTGAGTGTGAAGTGCCTGTAGACACCAGCCACCACCTGCACATACTTACCCACTTCTGCACCATCACAGACAGCACAGAGTCAAAGTGACTTTTTCCAGCCACATTAGGACCCTTTTGACTCTTATTCAACTTAGGATAAGTAGTGGGGCACACTCAACTCACTATTAAGCTCCTGGAGTCAGGTCCACCCTGGAGTTCTCACCCCAGAGAGTCCTACAACTTCACAGAGAAAGAGAGGATCAGGGACAAGCAACAGGCAGCAGCACGTTGGATCTGACCCTTCCCTCCAAAACCACCCTCACTGTTCCTCCTCCAGCCTTCCTCATCCCTCAGACCCGCAGAGGCAGAGGTGTCAAGAGGCAGAGGATGTGAGGAGAGGAGGAGAAAGAGGAAGAAGGTGGAAGGAGCCAGCCTTGGCAAGCAAAAGTTGCTAAATGTTGTGTTTGGATGCTCAGAATTTTTTTCACAGATCTTCTCCCTTGCCCGTTGTGCCTTATCTTATATTAGGACAGTTAATTGCTCCCACACGTATGTACAGTTTCCAACCCTGTCCTGTTAAAGATCATCCTTGTATTTTTTTTCAGTCTAATATTCCAGAGCTTTTCCACTTTGAATTTTAATCCCACCGTCCTGAGTGACCGAGCCCTTTCGTCTTACATTAGCTGCTTACTTTGCATGTCTTGCTTTACAAGTGCAAATGTGATTTTCATGGATACAAGTCTAATTTATGTCTTATCTAGAAAAATAATCCCTTTTTGTTTCTCTAAATGGCACTGAAATGTGAAGTTAATGCAAAAACACAAGCACATGAAGATAATGAATTTCTGCTAAGCTCTGCGGTGCCTCATTTGTACCTCACGCAGAGTGCTGAACTAAGTAAAAACTTGATCTGCATCAAATGAAGTGAACTTAACTGACTTTTTGAAGATTCATAAATGAGGAGGCCAGAGAGCAAGGCTGCAAGGCTGTTTGGCTGCAAGTATAAAATTCACACAGCCAATCTGGTACCATGCTCAGGAAATGCAGCTGATCAATAAACTCAAGGAAACTCTCCAAATCACTTGCTTCAGTTTCCTCCAAAAAATTATCAATCAGAGTCTGGTATGCAAATAAACAACTGCCATGAAGATCCAAACTCCAAACATAAGAAAAATAAGGGAATTAAAGATTTGCACATATTTTGTGCACCATTCTCCAAGAAAGGCCCCAGAAATAGCCTTGTCTCGGAGAAGGTTACAAAGGAAAGCATAAAAGCAATGTAAAGGTCTTGTATTTAATCTGATACAAAATACCATATGTTTTTGCATGCTTCATTAATGCTCCTTGGTTTGCCGTCTAGAAAGGCACAATAGTTTCAACCTTCAGGGGTCAGCAGTGCTCAGCATATCTATGAACTGAGCTCTAAGCAACTGTGGAGACTATTGAATAAGGGCCGACTGCTGAATATTAATCCTGCAGTTTTAGGTTGGACGGTTTGGAATCTGAAAACCAGCTAATTACGTATCACCCGCCATCTCACGGTGATGCACGAATGCCACTAATCACCTGTACAGTTCCCTTCCGAGAAAAAAAAACAAACAGTATTTAATTCAGAAGGTGCACTTGGAGAGTATTCTTCTGAATATATTTGCTTGAGTGTAAAATACTCTGTTTACTCATAGTTTTGAAATTAGATAAATGCAGTAGCCTTTTTTGAGCATACTAGTGCAAGGTCCTGTGTTTTGAGTGATAACACTCATTTTTGGAAAGCCTAATACTATCAGACTAGCTGTATGTGGTCTGGAATAAAGCTTGGCAAATGCAGCAGAGTTTTGTGGCTGCACTGAAATACGAGTAGCGTAAAGAAAGGCTGCTTCACTGTCTCATTTTTATGCCCAGTGGTCTTTTCATAGACTGTTCGGCCTAAATTTTAGTTTTAGTAGATTACCTTCAAATTAGAGTAAATTAGAGCTCAGGATTTACTCACAGTGCAATGCCTTACTCCACGAGAAGCCTAACAATTTAAACGCAAGGGAGCACAATCTTTACAGCTTTAGAGTTGTCTTGACAGTGTGCTGTTTATGGACTCTTTTTAGCGCACACACACAGGCACACATGCATGCAAAGCTGAGAGGGTGAAGTGAAATGACTCAAACACTGGATTTCTCCTGTTACAGCATTAACATTATTGCTATTCCAGGCTTTCTTATTCTTGTTAAATAACAGTGGACTGAATAAAAAGGGAATAAGAAGTGTGATGGATATGACAATATAATGATGATGGTATAATAAATTAATGCTTACCATTTCCTGAGTGTTTGCAAAATCTGCCTCTTTCGAGCTATACAGCACCAAAAGCATTATAATATTAATCAGGATGATACAAAGGAATACATATTTGTATCAAAATCTACTTAGAATAATGTGCATTCCTGCTCCCTAAAGACAACCAAAATGAAAAACCAGGAGGTTTACATCTCATTGAAACAGTAAATGACACCCTGGTAATGCCACTGCATATCCAGAGAGGCATGTTTATACGTGGTTAAAAATACAGCCTGAGCCTTAGCACACTGCCTTGCATGCAGAATTTTATTGCATGCGGAATAAACTACCCTGCATCTAACTCAGAATCACAGCCATAACCCCTCAAGGTATTTTTATGTGACCTCAAATGAACATAAAAGAGGAGTGCACAGAGCAGCCATTACTTTGCTATTTCTGCAGCATCCGTCAAGAAGCCGGCAGCACAGTCTCAGTGCAGAAAGTGTTAGTGCTTCTGAAACATGTTATTAGTATAAACCTTGGCCTGGAGTTGACTTTATTTTATATTTAATGACAAGATGTCAAAAATACTTTGATCTGTATTAATGTAGTTGCTGGAATGAAAATACTTCCAGTCAATTAGTGTTTTGATCCAAAGCAGTTAGCTACACCATCCAGCCTTCAAGTCCTGATGCTCTTCTACACAACAGTCTGTCTCTCACGCATGGCACAGTGAGGTGACTTACCACAAGGGAGTAGCAAATCTTGAATCCTGGTTTAGCCACAAAGTAGTCATCGGATTTGAAGGTTATCTTTATCTGATTTGTTCTTGATGTTATTCTTGGAGGTACTTCCTTGTGTCCACACCACCGTCCTCGTATAACCGTGCTGGTCTCTGATACATCTTCCACTTCCACAAAGTCATACCTGGAAACCATTTTGCAGGGTTAATTTTTGCTAAGTCTGGTTACAGAAGATGGTTGCAAATAGACAGGCTCACAGCTGGAGACACAGAGACATCTGTCCCCCATTCTCCACTGCAAATATTACAAATGGTGGGCGCGCTCGTGGTGGACACGCAGCGCTAAGCTGCAAGCTACTGCCTGAGTGCTCAAATGGCTGCTTTTTGTGCTCCTGGCACGTGACAGACTGTATTTTCTACCACGCTAAAACAGCCATTGAAGGCACTTGCATGTGCTTAGAACACAGTAAACATACACATCGCTAAGTGGTGGATAAAATATTATTTAAGGCAGGCTGCCCGCGCTGAGCAGCTGCAAGCCCTTGTGCACTTTCTGGTGGAGCAAAGGATGATGCTGGGAAGACACAGGGCAACGGATGCTGCTGAAAGGTGCTCTTTAGGATGTTCTTCGTAGGTGGCCCATGCCTTAGCTGTGGTGCCCTTGAGCCCTGCAGGCTCTGCCAGGAGATGCAGGGATGAGAGGACACAGCAACAGCACTCACTGCCGCAAACTGCATATTTGCTGGCTTGGGTCATTTATTGAGTTCGCTTCTTCAGCTGGAGAATAAAGAAGACAGAGAATAAACTCCTGCTCTTACTAACTCTATGAGAAAAATAGTCCCTAATATCTGTGGAGCCGGAATTAGGCCCCACACACTGCAGCTAGCGAGGAAGAGGTGATGACAAGTGGGGCAGGCTGAGTGCAGGCAATGAGAGATGGGGAGAGCTGCCATCCCCACAGTACACTTAAGCCTTAAACTCTGGAGGTCTCTACCAGGAAAGTTTTTTATTATCAAAGCATGTGTATCCTCCAAAGGGGAGTTTAAGACTGTTAACCGATTCCTACTAGAAATGTGCTGTTCCCCACCCCCCAGTTTGCGGGCCAAGCGTCTGCCTCCCTACCCAGTTGTGGGAGCTGAATAGCTCTGTAAATAACAGACCCACTTTTCTTTTTCTGCTGAGAGCCCATGTGAAAAAAACGCAAATACTATGTGGCTTGAGAATATCAGCACTGCTGCTTTTATATGCACCAACCCCAAATTGCACAGAACAGAAAATAACAGCTTTTGCCATAACCAAATCACTTAAATCTGCCCAAGCTCTGCTGAAACAACCATTTTTTCATAACACTGCAAAGTTTAGTTCCAGACAGAGGTAACCTTGTCTCAGGCTCCCTCCACTGTCCTTTGCTCCCACTCCCTCACGGTGATGGATGTGGTACCCAGGCAGAGCTTTGCTGCAGTGGTCATGGAAGTGGGTGCAATCTCGGTTGTTTGTGTGCATCCAAGGAGCCTTGGAGGCTGGGTAACTTAATTGCTTTTCAGAATCATCTCTTATCAAGTGCCTGTGGAAATGCTAAAAGCACTTCTAGAAAATTCTGTAAAACCTTGAATATTTCCCCTCCTCCTGAAACAGCTCTGCTAAAGTATACCTTTTCATTCCTCAGCCTGACTGAATTTCAATCAGTTCAGTCTTAATAGTATGCAAATTACAATAATTAGCATTAAAGAAAAATTGAAAGAAAACACTAGGAAGTTTCTGGTAAAAAAAAAAATAAGGTCAAAAGCAAGTACAAAAGGAAGGTAAGGTGCAGAGGTCCTGAGTTGCCTGTCCAATAGGCACAGCATTCAAGCACATGCTCAGCTCTCAGCATTCATTTCAATTAAAACACGCCTGGCTGTCTCTCTAAGGCAGCGCTGCAGGGATTGTCAGGGACTGAAGTTGCAGAAAGGACCTAGTTTTGAAAAACATATTGAGCATTAGTAAAAAATCTAAGTACGCACACAGTACTTAACAGGCTTAAAGCCATCACGAGCTGCCTGCCCGAGAAATTCCTCGCTCTGGAAGTAATACTACGCAAATAAAGGTCTTCCAGGAACGCCAGGGAAAGCTTTATTGCAGAAAAGAATGTGATATTTCTCCAGCTTCTATAGACACTACGGATGATGGAAGGTCTTTGCTTCTCTCTGCAGCCCAAATTAGCTGCTCTGGAAAAAGCAGGAGGACTGTCTTCCAAGACGGTCCCCAAACCCTTAAAGCCAGCAACAGCTCGACTTCCTCTCACCGTGCCACCACCTTTAATGGCTCTTGACAGAGAATACTTCATCTTTTTTTCCACAGTAAATTAGCCCTCCGTTTCAAAGCTGCAATGCTTTAAGGTCAGCCACAGTTTATCCACTATGTAAATATTAACAGGCCGCTTCTGTGTGCTTTGGGATCTCAGTCTGGGAAAGCGTTTGCGGTGCTGGGAGGTAACTGTCGTTACCAACCCTGCTGCTGGTCTTGGACCAACAGCACCAGAGCAGAGCAAGCAGCTGCCAAGACCATCAAGGCGCAGGGAAGGAGAGCCGGTTTCAGGCCACATTCTTTTATTACTAAATGGAAAGCAAACCTGCAGAAATGGTTCTCTCTATTGGTAACGTAAAAAATTAACAAAGCAAAACAAGAGAAAAAAAAAAAAAATCCACCCTGTAAAACCCTGCAGAGCTGCCAAACCCTATAAATGCAAATTAATTGACAGAGAAGATAAGATAAGCAGAGGCTGGCTGCGCAGAAATCCTAACAACCCAGTTCTCTGCACAGATAAGGCGTAAGTAACAACATGATCAGGCAGGGAGCTGAAGCTGAGACTTGAGCGTTTTATGTAAGTAGCATCACAGCAATCTGGCCCTTCGAGCACATGGGAATCCTGAGCCTGCTCTCTCCCACAGAACCGAGAGCTGAATAAAAGAAATATAAATGAAAAAAAACTTCCGTGGATTTATACTGTTTTAGTGACCGTTGGCAAGATTCACCTCTGTGCTCTGCTAATGCAAAGCAGTTTATCCACCTGGGTTAATCAGCCAGATCAACTGAGCTTATGGTCACTTTTACTTAAAAGGGGAAAAAAAAGCAACTGGGATATAGTAGAGTATATTTTATTAGATATATCGGCATGCAGAGTGCACTGAAGTTTGTAGGCACATATTTAAAGGTTATAAAAGAAACCGTACCAGGGAAGAGTAGCAATAAAGACAAATAATTTGAAGACCATAGTTATATTTTTTCAATGCACTTCTATCTGTCCCTCACATGCCAATATAAACACATACCTACTCACCCACACCTCCCAGAGCCTTCCACCTACTGAAAAAGATGTTTTTTGTCTGGCTGAAACATGACAGGTGATAGAGGACAAAATCCTATTAAAGTAGTACCTGAGCTGTTAGGCAGCTGGATTTGAGCGTACAAGTGCCTTGTGCTTAAAATATTATAGCAGGACTAAAACCTGCCAAAACCTCTTCAAGTCCAGAACAGCTCAGTTTATAAATAAACTCAAAAACCAATTTGGGTTAGAAGGGAGCCATCGAGGTTTGTCCTCCAAGGAAGGCCATCACAGACCCAGCCAGAGACACCCAGGTTTTGGTTTGCAGTCTCATGCCAGTGGCCACATCCTTAAGCTCGAAGGTGGTATCAGGGAGCCCTTTGCAAACTTCCACTCACCTGCAGATATCATTTTCAGGCTCCTCCAGTCCAAACTGATTATCAAAAGCCAGCTGGATCCTGGTGCTCTCTGGGGAGTGGAGCCGCCACGTCAGCAGGAGGTTCCTGGGGTAACTGCTGGGGAAGCGAGGACTGTGGATGCAGCCGTTCCCTGCCACGCTGATGGTCTCTTCTTTTCGGTACAAGTCTGTGAGGTGATTGCTCTCTGTTAGTAGTCACAACTTGTAGAAATTAGTATGTTGTTCCAGTTACAGGAAGGCAAAAAACACAACAGTTTATAACACAGCACAAATTATTTGCATTTAAAGTCTATAAAATTTGGGTCTAGGAGCAGTTATTATTAAATAAGAAGTACAGTGCATTTTCTCTTAATTCAACCCCCTATAAACAGTAAGAACAACAGTACTCAACTACATAGATTTTATTTTATGATAAATACACCATTACTTTTACATTGATATCAATTATATCATTTCCTTCTCACCATTTTGGTTTTAAAACAGAATTTAAACTTTAATAAAAGCTGCAAGCTTGAGAACAATGAAGTGACACAGAGTGAGGTAAAAAGGGAAACGTCCCTGATTCCCAAATTTGGTGCTCTGGGGAGAGTTTCCCTCTAAATAAAAAGCAGCAATAAAAGGCTGCAGGAAAGTGCGTGCGAGTGAGTCTAAGTTTGTTTATTGTGCTTAAGTATTTCCTCCCAGAAGCATGTGTTAGGTCACATTTTTGTTTTATTTATATGGTGTGAATCATTTGCTGTCAATGGATCATTAACACAAATAGCTACTCCATGCTTACACCAATGTCACTGGAGTCAGAAACTGCCCCACCAACTTTCTCACTGAATGACTTCAAGACAAATAGCCAAGTCTTTACTTAAGTCAAATTCCACAGCTTCTGCCTGCGCAAATACTCACTTGTTCCTAAAGTTTACTTATACTGAGGTAAAGCTTCAGCTGCTATAAATCCCTGGCTTCAAGAATAACAGGAACTGTGGCAAGACCCAGCCCTCTAAAAGTCAAAATGTCTTCTCAGTTGCACCATGCACTTGCATTGTCCAGCTGTTACTGACACTGGAATTTGGCTCCTAGCATCAAATAACTGCAAGCAACTCTTTTTGTTGTGCATTGATAACTTTAGTGTGGTGAAATTTTGAGGATCAGAAGGCTCCAAGGTAACACGCAGACCACAGCAGGGTTCAGTTCCCAGTTAAGAGACTCAAATCTGAGCCTGCAGCCACGAGACAGCTATCTGTGCTCCCCATCTGGTGTGTGGGGATCTAGGGCTCAGTTCAGTTACTCACAGAGAGGCTTCTAACACCATTTAAGACATAGTATGGTTTCCTGCCTGGCCTCCATGAGGACAGGGAGGTCCAGCACCACATCCAACAGCCCCAAGCAGAAGTCCCGTGGAAGCTCTGTTGTCTCCCAGAGCTACCTGCACGTGGGCAAGCTGAGGCCCTTCCCAATGTGGCTGGTGGGAGCTATACCTGGACAGGTCAACTAACTGCATTGACCAAATTTCTACCTACTAAGGGGAACTCAGACACTAGCTTTTATGTAAAAACCTAGACTCCACTGTCTAAAGACAAATATATTCGTTTCATAAATGCTGATAGGAAACAGGAACACAGAGAAAAAGGCACAATCTTAATGGTAAGTACATTTATTTTTCAGGTTGCTTTTCACTAGTTCCTGGCTATAAATACCTCCCTGCACATAGCTGTAAGCAAAGTGTGGTTGTGTGTCAACAGTTCATTGTACCCTTCTGACAGGGTAATAATTCTAGTTTCCCAACAACCTGAAACTTAAAAGTCTGGGTTTCCTGTAAAATCTATCTTCAAAGATCTATTTGTGACATATTTTTAAGATGCTTTCATTTAAGATGAAATGTTCTCACACCCTGAGCCACCATTTCTAGGCCCTGACACCATAGCTCACAAAAACAGTTTAGTTTAGTTTTGTTTTGTTTTGTTTTGTTTTGCTCTGGTTTGTTCTGTTTTGACCAAACAATTTGCATTGGAAATATGAAAATTCAATGAAAATAAAGATCACCCACCCATCAGTTTTGTTGCAATTTTCAAGAGGAACATCTACACTCAAGTCTGTTTGTGGTTTTTTTTAAATGGAAAAAAAAAAAAAAAAAAAAGACACCTCTGTTCACCCTAATCTGGAATGAAACAAAATGTCCAGCCAACACTACTGAGTTCCTACTGAAACGCTGAGGACTTTTGGATCTGAAAACACCCAATACACCCAAGAGGACAAGAGTATTTCACAGGACTGTGTCCACAATGTCCAGCAAAAGGGATAAAAATAAAACGGTTTTGATGAAAACAAATTCTGCACTTTTGAATGAAACAACCATTCCCTAAGTCAGAACAAAAGTCACTGCAGTCAAACATGGTAGAACTCATCCTACACCTGAGAGTACTTTACTCTTCTTTCTTGGACAGCAAACTCCTGCCATTTTCCCACCATCAGCATGCATTTCACTGTGTGGTGCAATGTGGTTCACGCTCCTGAGGGAAAGGTTCCCTTTTCCCAAACAGTCCTAATACAGGCTTTACTTGGAGGCGCCAAGTGCTGAGATTAGAGTGCTAGGACAGCAACCTTCAAATGTGCTCATACATACACACACACCCAAAGACAAAATCTGTGCATTTTACTCAGCACACCAGCTGAGAAAGTATGTTGCCAGTGTTCTTGTACTCCAAGAAGATAGGTTCTGTCATGGCTTTTTATTTAACTTAAACTCTGATTCCCACAGCCTGGGGTTCTCTGCCAGCAAGTCAGCCACAGCTGACCAAGATCAGGGCTGAAATGTAATGGCCGGCACAGCTCTGCAGTATCCAAGCTGGACAGGTAAATGGAGAAATAAAGCTGCACATGTTAAAAAGCTTAAAAATCAAAGGACAGAGACTTGTTATTTCTATCATGGTAATTGCAATCATTATAAAGGCATTATGAGGAAAGGCTGGAGAGAAGCATGGGGAGACAATGCTCAGTAGAGTAAAACAGGGGATATAAAAATATTACAGTATGAAGTTATGCCTTTTCCACAAAGAAAGTATGTTTGAAAATAATGGCTATAAATACTTTTTCTATAACTCACATGGGATGAAATGCAAAGCCACTCAGAGTTTTCACCTGCCACTGAAACAGACTCTTCAGGAGCTCTGAAACAGCTTGATTCCCTCTTACCTCTCTCTCCATGCACTAATTTACAGCCTGAAGTGGTGTAGCCAGGACTGGTACCAAATGCACTAGAGTTTTCCAAGGGGATTTTCAGTGGGATTTTGCTGAGTTAACTGGTTTAGTTAGATGAGGGAACACAGTCAACCCAAACTCGGTCTCTGGAGGTCGGGCCCTCATGAATCATCAAGCATTTGGGAAACAGCTTGAGGAGATGTGAGCAACTCCTGTACTTCTTGTAGCAACCAAGATGTGTGACTAAAATGACAAGACCTTTACGACAAGCGCTGTTCTCATCAGATACACTGGATGAACTCACGGAACCCAGACACTGGCCATGGGGAAAGTCAGGAAAAAAAGACACTTGAGGAAAGATGAAGGCAAAGGAAAAGGCAGTGCCTCTTTCAAGGCACTGAACTATCCCTTGTTGCAATGCAATACAATGCAGCATTATACAGTGTCCCAAATGTCACATACTAACTGTATTCCATAATGCTTTATGGGAGTAAATAAAAGACGACAGTGGATAATCATACTAACTGTATTCCATAATGCTTTATGGAGTAAATAAAAGACGACACTGCCTGTCACATTTACTAAAGAGCATATAAAATCACTTCACGATGAATAAAAGTAGGTGTTAAGTCATAAGGCAAAAAGGCCATTTAAGCAATTCACAGAAGGAGGATATTCTAGATGGCAGGAGCTACAAGACATCCTTGCACTGGGGGAGGGAAACTGTCTCATAAGGAAGATGAGTGGGAAGGAAGCTGGAAGGCATCCCTTGCAGTGAGGCAATTCCCTGCAGAGAGTCTGAACTGACTGGGAAACAGCTTGCTCTATATTTTATTTATCTGAACTAATCTCTCTTTTCTTTTCCTCTCAATTCTTTCCCAACCACTGATTTTAAACATAACGGTATACATGATAGTCCAGCTGTCCAGGTCAGAGGAGCTCCCATTAAAGCACCAAAGCAGCTGCATTTTCAGCAGTGCTTGCCTTCCTTCCCTGGCATGGAGGGCAGCTGGGTGTCAAACTGGGAACTGCAAAGTTTAGCTCAATATTCAGGAAATTTGCTTGCCTCAAGACTTTCCCCACTGTGGGTGGCAGCACATCCAATGTTTCTCCTTCCCGGTTAGGGCATGTTCTCCTAGTGCCATGTGGCATAAGCAGCAAGATTCAGAAACAAATTTCATCCTCTCTGGATGCCTGCATTTTCTTGCAAGTTTTAGCGATGTACAGACACATTCTTGTTAAAGCTATTCCCCATCATTACATACATATACAGAAAGAAGCTTGCTTTTATTATCATTCAACAGACAAGGAATTCCTTCACTGAAAAAAAAAAAAAAAAGAGGTGCAATTACTGCTTGCTAATAGCTAATCTGACATCTTTTCTTTGATATCCATTGAGCAAGCAGAGTCAGTTAAGTGTCAATTCCTTCAGAAAGAAGAAGAATCCAGAGAACAACCTTATCTGGACCTAACCAATAAAATGGAATATTTAGTTTCACTTTTCCAAGATTTCCGGAATTTTAGCCTCACTTCCTAAGGTGCTGTCCTGTCTATATGTTTGCTCCTGTCTTTCTTCCCCCTGTAGAAGTGGTTGACCAACCTCAACAACCTTGACACAGCGGTAGAGGCTGAAAAGATATCATATTCTGACATGTTTTATGACAAGAAATGTACCATCTTAAATCCCATGGAGTGTAACCTGATGAGCTCATCCTCTGTTACAGCTGAGGAGAGAGTTGCTGGAAACCATGTGAAGTTCATTTTACCACTCGTGAAACTATTTGTTATTTCAGGAAAGGACCTTGGGAGTTTACACGCTGGAGTTTTCCAGATATAACCCTCCTCCCCCATGACTGTTCTCTTTGAAACAAATACAGCGGTCAATGGTTTGCCACCAGTTTTTAAACAAATGAGATAACCTTCGGGGAGAATAATAGCTCTTCAGTTCCTCCAGTTGAAAATTAGCCTGATCTAAATAGCTGAATCCACAGAGTGA